TCCCCGGACTGACCTCTTTCGGTAGCTGCGATGGCGAGCAGCACACATGAAAGAGATATAAAATGGGCATCATCACATAGAGTGCGATGAACAGCGCAAGTCCTGCGACTCCATGCGCAGTCGGTAGAACTGTACGAGACGTAGCACTTTGCATTGCGGACCCTGTGGAGCTCATTGATGTGAAGGCCGAGACGAGACCGCCAACACCAGTACCATATGCTGCAAGGGCTGCAATAACTGATAGATAGAAGAGAGCAAGATTACGATCTGTGCGACGATGCGTTTGTGCTGGAGGCAGAGCCAGGCGCAAAAGCAGGAGGGATGGGAAAAGAATGGCAAGAGAAAGGACTGCCAGTAGTTTGTGCACCAAAGAGACATCGTACGACAGGTACGACTGAGATCCACTTGTTGTATCCGGGGAACCAGACGACGTAGCGGAACCAGAAGATGTGAGCGGTACCGCGCATTCAGTCAGGAATTGAATGGTAACATTAGCACCATTAGCGTTGATGCCTGTCTGAAGAGAACCAGACGGAGCTCCCCAGTCGCCGCCCGAGGATGAAATGGATCCACTGTACGCTCTCAATATCCAAACTTCCGTGAGGTATTCACCGGATTCATCCTGACCTCCAAAGACAATGGTATCAGCCACATTTTTATTCGAACCGACGAGTGCCTGAGAATAAGAAAGGGCAACGGCGCCCTCCCGAGGTGTGGGATATGTCTGAACGCCATCTTGGCCTGGATCACCGGCCGGAAGGACTCTGCTCCAATCGCCTGATCCAATGTCCAGAACAGCTACCTCGCCCTTCTGCAGCCCACCTTGATCGTCCCACAATGAGGAGTTGAAAGTCCCGAGTAGAAGGAACACTTGGTTCCCATAACTGGAAGAGAAAGGATTCAAGTTTGGAGCCAGGCAACCTCCGTATCGTGGAACAGGACAAGAGGGAGGAGTGATTGGCACGTTTGATCCTACTTCTAGGATATATGATTCACCCTCGGCGCACGATTCATTCGAGTTATTGGTCGTGTTACAGCCGCTCACAGAGATGAGGCTGGTCTGAACTACTGTGGAAGCCTGGTTGACGCTGTAGCCTGCACTGCCAACGGTTTGGTTACTCCAAGCACCAAATGTGTTATTAGTCGCCAAATTAGATGATAACGTTCCAGAGATGGTGAAATCCCAAACATCTGATAGGGGATACATGTTTGTACCATCGGTGCCACCAGACATGTAAAATGTGTTGCTTGTTGTGGTAGCATTAGGCGCTACTGTATCATCTCGGCCACCAGAGGCGCCCCAACGTGGTGGTGGACCACTCGTCGTTACAGTGACATTGGACCAGAATCCGTTGATGAAATCATATTCCTGGATAGAGATGAGCAAGCCTGATAGACTAAATGTTGCGAGCGACACGCACCCATACATCAGACAAAGCTTGTCCAGAGATCCCCCTTCCACCCATCACCAGGTGAGCGTGACGACTGGTGAAATATGAGACGGACAGAAAATGAATAAATAGCATGATACTCACTAACTGGAGGAGAAGTCTTCTCCGCTGACAGCCATGTACCTGGCTGGGGGTGAACTTTGTGGTAGACCTGCCTGAGGCTGAGGAGTACTCCAGTCAAGTGTGCCGAGGTTCAAGCTGAAAACATTTCCTATATGACACAGAAGGATTTAAATCCATGAAAAGTTGCACATACAGGTAGGTCTGGTCTGTTGGGATACCACTAGATGATTCACCACCGAAAATGATAAGGGTACCTGTCGTTGGATCGTAGCCGATGGACGGGTATTTGACAGCAACCGGTGTTGCACCCAGTAAGCTACCAGTGATGTTGAGCCATTGTAATGGTGGAACTGGGAATGTGGAGGGCAGCTTCTGGGCGTAAACTGTCGAGATACATTTCATAAAGAAAAGCCAAGCAATTGCAGAGCATTGACAAAAACCGGTTGCCATAATGCTCGTGGCAGGTGTAAGATATTGGTGTCGAAAAGTCGTATATCGCGAGCTGACGCTCGTTGTGAGCAACTACTGCGAATTGGAAACCAGAATTACCAGCTGTGGGAGGACCTGAAGGCGTTGGTTCGCCGTGGCTGCAAGCAACAACATCCCCGACTATCCACGGCTCAATTTGCCTATTTAGGAATCCGTTGGTGTGGCGGTTGCCTTGATCGAGGGACCGCTTACGTCAGCGCCCCTTAGGAAAGTTTGTTTCGTTTCGCTCAATTTCTCCTAGGCTGGCATTATACGAGACCGATCTACTTGTGCTGTCTTGTCAAACAACTCCTACCTGCCATCACACCGTTCGTGTGCCGAATCTTGTGTGGTTTAGGCTCAGACCTTAGAGGCTCATGCCAGCCTGGCCGAGTGGCATATATAGCCGCTTATATTATCTCACTGTTTTTCCCTTCTTCAGCTGCGCAGTGGAAACTGTCCATCTATTTGCGTCTTGCAATCCCACTGGCTATTCATTCTCAATGACACAGTGTAAATGCTCTAGATGAGTCAAAGTTTCAAACGCCTTCACCTCCGAGTAATGTGCTTACCCTCGAAGCTCGATCCCAACTTTTCAAACGGGTATGATTTTATCGGCCGTGGGTATGAGCTCTTCAACAACCTACGCAGGGGGGGGGGGGGGGGGGGGGCAAATTCTAGGTTGCAGCATATTGTAGGATGCACATTGGTGATTTTACTAGTCTTGGGATTCATTATTCATAAGATTCATCAAAGCCTGGATGTTCAGCCAGAACTGACCTGTGTTACCGTATCTTGCGACCTCGTTCAAATGCACATGACTTGAAGTGTCATTGTCGATGAAATAACCAAGATTTCATTGGCTAGACCACATCCTCGAAAAGTTACATGCAATCACACGCACGCGGGGCAAGTAACGCATCCTAATAGGCGTCAGTTAGATGGTCAACTTCACTTCATCCAGCTCGTGACTCGTCCTTGCGAAACAGCTAGTCTGTGGCACTGCTACATACCTTTACTCCCGTACCTCGTCCTCCAGTACTTCGGTGCATATTACCGCGGTTTGGCGGCTCTTATGTGCTGCCGCGCCACTGGCAGTGCGTTGGTTGTATCACTTTCAAGCATGTGGATATTCGAGTCCGCACGAAACCTTTCCACTGACCAAGCGTCCTAGCTGATTTGCGTCAGTTTGATTACCGATCCATCATGAGATTGCTGGTGATTGGCACCCAACATCTCTGGTCACCGCCACATGCTCTTGACTATACTATAACAGTCAATTTGATGCTCTGCTTCCGAACTTTGCCAGATCCTCATTGAAACTATTTCATCAAGTGGCACAGGTTCAATATCAAACTCAATTGTTCCAAACACAACGGTTTTGGACAGCAGATTTTGACAGATCGTAGCTCTTTCCCCTTCTGGCCATGGGAGACCCTCGGGTGATTGGCAGGAAGCCCTAAACTGTTATCATTTTTACGACTTTTCATCCCAAGTTGAGCAAACCGTAAGACAACGTCCATCTGTCACTGCCCCCGACTTAGTCGGAATGTTTTGGGTCCCCGACTCATCTGATGAATTAATAGCTTGGACCAACGGTTCACCGCTTAGCCATGTGTTGACCGGGGATGATATTGACGTCCGCATTCATCCGAACATGCGCCTTGTCATCAAAAGGGTATGCACGAGGCCGCACCAATGGAGATTTTCTTGCCAGCTGCTTATTGTCCGTCAGTGCGTCAGTATCTAGATGTAGTGCAAACGCGACACCCACAAAGTGTCACCCCAAGACAAAGGTGGGTGTTGATCCTCTATGCATCACTTAGTGCTTATGGTACCATACTAGCGCATGCAGGATCAGTGTGGATGCTGATGAAGTTGTCAACGATCTCATCTCCCTTGTTTTTCTAACACAAGTAGCAATCACGACTCTGACGAGTGAAACAAGGCCGTAAGGGGAATGTGCATTCCCCTTACGACCTTCATCAATGTAATTACGACACCATTAATATCTATCCGCCGGTATGTGACATTGCATCTCGGGAAGTGGGCGGGAGTACCAGTGAGTACTAGTACACAGCCAGAAATTTTGCTGTTTCATTCTGATGATGGTGACTCAGTGGCATGACAAAAGCATGGACCGTACAATACTGCGGTTGGCCTATCAATGACGGACTTTGAAAAAGAGTTCTGACCTTCAGTTCTCAGATCTCAGTAGGCGCAGATGACCCAATGTAAGATATGTCGATATTGATGATATCTTTCTATATAGAAATAAACTTTTCGATATTTCTCGCTACCGAAATCGATCGGGAGTTATTCACAAAATGAGCAGAATCACATTTTTACAACGAATAATAAAATATAACAGAGAAGTTAGCACCGACACTGAAATTGTGAGTATTATGTGCATTGTATTTTTGTTAGTTTTCTTACTTGTGGTGGGGGCTAGGACCTGTATAGTACATATTACATGTGTCTGGTGCCACTGGCGCCCGATGTTTGGACCTTGATGATAAGGTTGTGTGCTGTAATCCTAGGACTAATCTCTTTTTGTTCCATGGAAGGTTGCTGTTACGCATCGACCGCCCACCACGGTCACGACATAGTAGACCAACTTCTATGCTTCTATTCTCGAATCAAAAGTTTTTCCTCGATGTCCACAGCTTCGAGTAAACATTCCCGCCGGTGATAAGAGCAACTTATGATACCTGTGAGGGCCATCTCAGTGACACTCAGCTGAATTTGATTTTGTTTCAGGATGAGCTCGGGTGGCGTCTAACCTTGTTGGATAGCTATGTAGCGACGCGAGCTCTGGGAATGTGATCGAATGAATCAAATATTCAAAGGAGCAACTGTGAATAAAGCAACCAGCCAAGAAGAGCCTCGACCTCGGTGTCGGATCAATGAATACACATGGTTGCTCAATTGACTATCCCCAATGGTGTGCAATGGTCTGACTTTGAACAACCGAAACATAAGTATTGTTTTGAGTCTTGTTCGGCAACTTACGTTGCTGTGCCATATCGACAATCTTCGAAGTCGAAGTACTACTTGGCTCAGGGTCGGCTAAGCTGACCTGGCCGCCGCGATCACGTGCTTCATTGTTTGACCATCTCTGCGTCCGTTGTCAACTGCCATCGCATGCGTATCATAGAAATCATGATTTCCTCACCCGCGAAACGCCTACTTACGGAGGATGAGCGCATTTCTAGGATCGGTTCGGAAATTCACAATAATGATGCGTGAGTGACGGAAATCTTGCATGAGCTTGCGTTGCATATACCCATCAAACAACAGTACTCCATCCGACGTGACTGCAAGCATACGCAATGCGGCAATGAGAGTCAGAAAGAGTGAGCTTTACTATGACAAGGTGCAGCGCGTCGCTAAAGTAAAATGACGCGTATGTGCACACGTAACGTAGATGTATTGGAGGGGTACCGCACACAGCCCTCAGCCCCAAGCACACCGAATAGCTCACCAACGAAGTGTACATCAACTTCTCGTGTAGAAGAGGAAGCTTACCCTTGGGCAAATGATACGCTGCGAGAAGTATTTGGATTTGCAACCTCCGGGAAATATACTCCTACGTCATCTCCCGCAAAGCGAAGGCGCTCCCAGTCAAGCGATGACATTTCCTCGGACAGCGAATCATCAAATGACCATATGGATGTCGAGAGGCCCATGAAACCCTTGCGGTCGTCTGAAGGAACATTGATGGCTGCACTAGGTCTGCCTCACAGTGTGCTAACCAGGCCTCCTGGCGGCGCGGAAATGACCCGAGTTCAAAAGTGCCCAGTAGCGCAGGAACACGATGCGCATTCAATTTTGGATGTCGTCGGGTCAGCTTCCCACGTTGCGCAGCGTTGAACTATGTAGTGATCTACGCCGTACGGCGAATGACCCGGAGGTTAGTCACCTTACCGAGGAGGTTACTACTTCTAGCATAACTTACGAATTGCAGTGCTCAGGACGATCAAAAACAAGCCTATATTTATACAGGCGTTTTGCACGCCTTCTCGTTCGGTAAATGTAAGAGGTTGGAGAGTCGTTTTATGTATGTACCTTGCTGCGGTGGGTTGGCAAGCAAAAGATGAAGAATATACAATATTCGCGTACTAGCAACACTCACGCGCATCTTACAGAAATCTCAGGCAAGCAAATTGCCCTTGCATAAACAATGTCAATACGTGAGGAGTGAACCATTGATTGATTCCTTGCCTCAACCACGTTGTTGTCGCGCATTGTTCCGCCAGCACGATGAGCCCTTGTGGTGAGGACAGACGATGCGTACGTAATAAGCCATTTCGGTTGCGGGCCGTTTAATCGTGGTTTAATCGATCTTGAGCGGACCCACAACGGATTGGTTTCTGATACGTGTCTGCGTGCGCGCTGACCGGCCCCCAAAAACACTTTCCCACAAATGCGAATGCAACTTATACGCCTTTTCGGCCGCGGGCTATGCCTTTGTTGTATCTCCCGCGAATATTGATCTCCAGTGCATCCAGTTCACCCACAGCTGGAAGAAGACCTGTCAAGATCTCCGACCAGAATGGGGCGTCGATACTGGGAAAAATTAGTTCTTGATCTCGTAGCCTTTTTCTATGAACACAACTTCTTCAGGCGGAGTGAACAGATCGCCTTGTATTTATACCCATCCATTTTCCACCGAGTCTTTAAACCACCCCTCTCTCCCCAGTCCATCTAGTATTCAAGAAACAATGACACCGCTTTCGTCTGTATCTAACGCTCAACAGTCCTTTGACAAAGCCAAGAAGCATTTATGGTAAGTGGCGCATCTAACATCTCCCTCCCTATGTTGGCATTGCGTTTTCTTGGCTCTGGGTCATCGCTGGAGCTCCGGCGATGCCCAAAGTCTTTTGATGTATCACATTTTGCCGCCTATGCTTTGTTCACTTCGCTTACGGTTTTTCTACGTATAATTACTGACGCCACATTCTTCACCGCTCTTCATTTCACCCTCCTTCAGGGCTTCTGACTCACCGAAACAAGAAATGAGCGGTCAGAATAGACACTCCGAGCAGCCACGCTACTCACTCCCTGAGATCGAACGGGGTTCCAGCGACCATGACGAGTACCAAGTAAACTCGCATGGTGATCCGTCAACTTCTCAGCGACGATCAGAGCGAAAAGGGTGCATACTACCTTCGTCTTCACGGTAATTCTTCGTCTGATTTACTTGTTCGTCCCCTTGATTATCATTCCTGTAAGGAGTGACCTGTGCACTTTGCCACCTCTCCCTCGCGAAAGAACATATGACCGAGATGTCCGTCCTATACCTTCTCGATTCACAAAATTCATGGACCACTCGCCAGCACAAGATGGGCAGCTTAGGTATGCATGTCCAATGCCACTCGGCGAAGTACTAATCGCTTTGAAAAGGCGCACTTGTACAGACCTGGAGACCTACCACGATAGTCGGCAACAACGACCTGTTTCCTTGTCGGTTTTCAATGCACCGACGGCGACGTACGCTTGGGAACGCTACGAACCTGAATCTCAGATACCCTATCCACGCCCCCTTTATGTCGATTACATTGGTCGAAGCTCCACGCGGTCGGCATCGTCAAGCTCCATCTCCAGCTTACGCGATTCTCCTGGAATGCCGTGCGTTTTTATCAGAAACAGTATGAACAATGTGTTAAAATTTAGTCGCCTTGGCAGATCTCCTGCACTATCTGACCGCAGCATCTCCACACCTACTTTACTCCCCCAAAAACGAAGAAGCTCGTCCCCAGCTGGACAGTACGTGGCTTCTAATTACTCATATCTCTCCGGCTAAGGACATCCTTCTTTCATTAGTTATCATGCATCTTCTGTCACGAAGATCACGGAGCCGCTCAGGTACTTCATTTAGCATTCTTTGCGACCCTGCACTTAACGGACTTGCAGACATGTAAACATTGAAGTTGATCATAGCTGGCCTCCTGTTTCTTCCAGGCCCTACCAGCGAACACCTACTCCCGAAATGATCTGTAGCCCACCATTGCACAGATCTCAATCTGATCGCCATGTTTCGGCAAAACGCAGTATTCCGAACGGCGGTGATGAGCGCCACCGTCAACATGAGGACAGTCCATGCGGTAGTGATTCCAGCGATCAGTCACACATTACCCGCCCAATAGTACCACTCAAGTCAGATTCAGAGGAGTGGGAGAAGTACGCTTGCTTTACTCTGGACGGCACAACACGGAAATGGTTGTGCACCTGGTCGACAGAGTCAGGAGGACAGTGCAAATACATGTCCAAGAAACAATTAGTCAAACGCCACGTTGAAACGACTCATTTGCGTTACAAGTAAGCGACTTGGTCATTCACGAGCGTCCTTTACTAATCTCGTTCGTTTAGGCCATTCGTATGCGGTATCTGCGGCAAAGGATTTCCTCAGAAAACTTCTCTCGACACTCACATGCACGGACAGTAAGTAGCACTTTATCGGTTTTCGATTCTAAACTCAATGCACTCATCAGCACTGGATCCACACCACACGCATGTCGATATAATTGTGGGATGTGGTTCAAGGATCCAGCACGTAGACACAGACACATGGTGGACGAGCACCAGTACGTTCCAAGGCAGTCTAAGAAGAAGCACACGAGCGGACAGCCTCCAGACGCTCTGGACTTCGAATCTGTGCAACGATGGAATGTCGCCAGTGCCCCTTAGTGCCTGGTACTTTCGACGAGAAGGCCGATGTGTGTCAGCATTAATGTAAGCCAATGTGACCTCGGCTGACAGATATCTCCGTGATGTCGGCGTTCGATATATCATGTTTATGGGTTAACTACTTATATGTATATCACGGGTCCTTTCTCCACAGAGTGGACGAGATGTGACCCAAGGACTGGGGGTTCGGAACAATTATTATTATTATTATAACTGAATTATTCTTGCGAATTTTTATCTTTATTATCTGATGCAGATCAACGCAACCGCAAACTATTAAAGTATGATCAAGTATCCCATCCCTGGGAAGCGCTGTCAATATATACACAGAGGAATTTTTTTATAATAAATATTGCGTGCCTATCATTTATTCAAATCGGATGGTGATCGGGAAGCAAGTACTTGGATGGTAAAAAGTGGCCCAGCTATTTCATCAAGACCTTCATGATCTGTGCTTTGTTGCGTTTAACAATGAGTTACAAATTTTGTAACGCTGATAATAAACGCTGTCAGGGGACTTTCTACAGCGCATTATGAGCGAACAAAGATTGAAAGACTTTCTGAAGTAAACGCCGCCATAATCACCGCCGAGACACGTAGGCAAAAAGTCAGCCGACATGTGGTGAATTCTTGATCAAAAAGAACAACCCCGACGGTTCGCGCGGGCGAGCGCCAATCTGCTGAACTATAACCACACTTTCCTTTTTGATTAACAACTTAAAATAAATGGTACCGGCATCTTCCGACAGACATCATTGATCGACGCTCCATACAGGGAGATTTGAACCCACGAGTTCGGCCCACCAGCACGTGAAAGACATGCCTTCAAAACAACCACCAACGTTCGGTAGTTTAGCTGTTCAAGCTCCTTCCTTGGTCCATGTCTCGCCATCAACATGTCACAACCTAAGCATGTTCAAAGGTACATTCTAAGTCTCTTGAAGTTTCTAGCGACTCACTTCCTATAGACCTTCTCAAAGAATATCGTATGCTAGATGATACGATTACCATGCGATTGAATCGCACAAGTGCACAGTTCCGTGATCGAGATCGTGCAGGGAAAGGCGGTAAAGGCAATATTCAGGACCAAGCTTGCGCGTACGTATGGAAGGAACTAGTCGGTAAGCTTCTTCGGTGTTCATCCTGAAAAGGTCTCATGAGGCTTGTCCTGTGCTTAGAAAACTGGAAACGCCGTACAGAAATGATAAATTATTGCGTCGACATTGTCGATCAGTCCATGGAGGAGAAGCGAAAGTCATTGACAAGCGAAGACGGCGATGCCAGGGCTCAAAGAAAAACGCAAGCAGCCATGTTTGCGGATGAGGTGAAGGTAAGGAAGTTCTCGGCGTGCAACTCCTTTTCTCATACACCCACGCGTAGAGAAATCAAGTTCACAATGAATTAGCTGTTGAGAAGATCGTGCGCCAACGATCACTTGACGGTGAGAATGATGACTTGTCTTATACGTACTGATTTTTGATACCATTATATTTGTCAAACCCAGCGTTTCGATCAAGGTGCCAATATTTTTCGCCTCCCTTGACGGATGCCGAGGCGCGGAAGTGGTGGGATGCTGTTCACATCCAAGAATCGCCGTAGGCGATGCTACTAGAAGCTTAAGTTACTATGAGCTGCTTGTATATATAATCATGGCGATGATGCAATAACGGAAGCATTTTAGAACAATACCCACATTGTGAGTTGCTTATATAATTATGGGTCATGATGCCATAGCGGAGGCATTGTAGAACAGCCCGTTCACCTGCAACTACTACCGTCGTCTATATGCATTGTACCATGTCATCCTCGCTCGCTTTGCTCGGATTAACCACTATTGCGATGGCCCTGGCACCGCCACTGATGGTGCAGTATCAATTTCCAACAGCAATATCCGATGACGTGAAAGTGCCCGTGGTTCTAGGAGTCATGTCTCGCTGCCCAGATGCAATTCTATGTGAATCTGTATTCAATCGCGTATTACAAAGAGTAGGCAACAAAATAGAGATCTCATTGTCGTTCATTGCAAAGTACGTTCAAGCATCACGTCTTCTTAGTACGTAGTTCATCATATTCGATAGACCAAATGCCTCGGAGCCCTTCTATGGTGTAACTTGCATGCACGGACAAGCGGAGTGTGCCGGAAATGTGCAACAGTTGTGCGCTGCTAAATACCACCCTACATCTGAATGGTGGTCCTTTGTGCAGTGTCAAAACTTTCAGGGGCGTGAAAACATCGGCACGCCTGAAACTGCCCTCAACTGCGCCAACGCAGCGGGAATCGACTGGGAAAACGGCAAGGCTGTCCAATGCGCAGGAAAAGACGGCCTTGGAATAGAAGGAATACAACTTTTACAACAGAGCGCCAGGGATAGCATCGCAGCTGGTATCCAGTACGTCTTAAGGAAGTCTGAGGATCCCTTGGAAGCTAATCCGGCAATAGGAAAAGCTGCACGATCATCATCAATGACCGACAAGTATGCATACGGGATGGCGTTTGGTACGACTGCGAGGTATGCAGTAAAACAACATTGCCGCACAATATGCAAGACCTTACAACGTGTTCTCAGGGCGGTCATTCACCAACTGATTTCATCAGACAAATCAACGAAGAGTATGACAGACTCAACAGCGCGGACTGAAAGCAGTCATTGTTTAACATTAATCTCATTATCCACGTCGGTGCACGTATATGCATACCGCTCAGCCACCAAGAATTAGCTCGTACACAATTATGACAAGATTCAGCCCTATGAGTGGTACTTTGTGTAGAAACATCAGTGTGTCAGTTCCAACTCGAGGATTGTGCCACTCACTGCGCATGAGGGTCCGCACGGCACTAATGAGATTGATTAATCGGACTTTGACACCAGCATCTTGCTGCTGGGTATATCCGTATCCTGACTTGATCGTATGGTGGCTGAAAACCAGCGTTGGGGTTCTGGACAGAGGACCAGCCAACTGTAAAACGGCGTCAGCGAATGGAGCGGCAGTAATGACGGTTCTTACTTTTCGCAAGGAATCGGTCCTCACTGAGAACTGCCATTGCATTAATTAGAAGGAGCGAAACGTAAAGAATTGTTCCGAGCGTGAGCATCGTTCCGCTCGCAGTGATGGGTTGCGGACTGTTCTATATTGTGCAAACGTGTTGGAGCAACGTGACTTCTCGTGACCGTGACAAAGGTGCTGTGACCGAAGCGCGGCCTGAATTTATTGGGAACTTGACTACTTGTCAGAACCTTTGCAGGATGCAGTCTGTCGCAAGACAAGTCCGATGCGGTATGTTGTAAATTGTTTCTGCAGATATGGCAGCTTACGCACGATATAGCGAGTCATTTAGGTACTCCAGTGCAGTTTCGCATAACTTCATCCCGCATTCAATGGCAGTGTCAACAGAGGTATGTTGGTCAAACAGCAAGGGCGTTCTGCTTCTTATTTTTTATGTTCGCAGAGCAGCAAGTTCCTATAATCCTTTGCAATGGATTCAGGAGAAGTTTGCCCCGAAGGCAAGGAAAGTGGATCCAGTAGAAGAGAAGAAAAGAGGTGAGCAGGAGACACAGGGTCAGCAGAGTGTGTTTGAGGCAGCTGTGAGTCGCGAGAAGGAGGGCCGACCCAAGGCAATATCTGCCGAAAGCGCTCCTACTGTCCTCAAGAAGAAGGCTACTCAAGTATGACCCACACTCTCTGATACTCACCGCACATCACTGATTATGCGCATCGCGCAGCACAAATACTCCACGGCTAACTTCAAAATCTCACATAGGAAGCTCAATATGATTGGCCGACAGATATCTGGAAAGCCAATTGACCATGCTATCGTGCAAATGCAGTTTAGTGAGAAGCGAGCCACAAACCGGATAAAGAGCATGTTGGCGACAGCTAAACTTCATGCGACGGTATACAAAAATATGAATCCTTCCAAACTCGTCGTTTGTAAGCCCTTTTGACCATATATTTCCAAGGGTGGATTCTCTAATACTTTTATAGCGGAAGCCTGGGTGACCAAAGGACCCAAGCAACTAAAACGACTTGAGCCTCGGGGACGTGGCAAGTTCGGTATCAGAGTTCACCCCGATTCGCGCATGCATGTGATCTTAAGGGAAGGGAAGACATTCGAGCAGTTGAAAAAGGAGCAACGTGAACGGCGTTTGAGAAGAATAGTCTCCGCAGGGTTGGTTCGGGAGGATGTACCGCTCAGAAACCCCGCCCGGACCTGGCAGTGGTAGCGGTTGTTTCTAGCTTTAATTACAATTTCAGTTGAAATATAATCGTGCTTTTGTTCAAGTGTGAGCCTATGAGAGCTCTTCAAATGTTAGCAAGGCTTGGATCCGAAATTCATTCATTTTGAGTTTTCATGCTAAGGCATGTATAACTAAAAATAGCACAGAGTAAGGACACGTCGTTGCTCTTTCCTGCAACAGACCACTACTCCAAATGGCACGACGCTGGTGGACACTTCCTCTGCTCTTCGTGAGCGCGCTTGCACCTTCATTCTCATTAGCTGGTCCCGCTTTTGAAAATACAGCTATCGTCCGCACCATCGAACTAGGTGGTTCACTAGTACATGTCAGTACAACTTACGCTGTCAAGGCTCTCGAACCAGGACAAACTACGTATCAAATTGCGCTCGGCAAGACTGAACGAACAAAAACAAGTTGGCTCGAGGCTAAAGTAAAGGGCCAGACTACACCTCTTGAGCTCAGGGAGACTGAATCCAGGTGTGTCTGAGTCGTGTGTTATTCAGTACGCGATATTCATGTCGTGTAGTACAGAGCATTTGTTGTCCGTTTCCCTTCCAAAAGCCTTGGCTGTAAACGGCACTCTCAACCTTGTGTTGGAGACTGTGCAGACTCATGCTACACACCCATTTCCTGAACAAGCCGCTCAGAAAGAGCCTCAGCTGCTCAAGTATGAAACCGACCTTTTCACTATCAGTCCTTACACTACCCTTGTACAACGCACAAAGATAAAGTATGCACTATCTACTACTTTCTGTATGTTTGAAGATCTGATTTTGCTTTGACAGGTCCTCCACGCCGAACGTCATTTCCTATACTACCCCACATGACGTGGACAGTTTCGTGAAAAGTGATTCTGTCACCAGATCTGGGGGAACTATTACATATGGTCCTTATCACGACATTCAAACGGACGCAGATTTCGTGGCAAAACATCAACAATCTATCTCGGTTCATTACAGCTTTGACCATCCTGTTCTTGAGGTCGAGACGCTTCGCCGTACAGCAGAGATCAGCCACTGGGGTTCCAACTTGAACATCGAGGACAAAGTTCACCTCCATAACGCTGGGCCCACGTAAGTGATGCATCTCGCATTTCAGATACAATGTTCAATTTCGAATTCAGTCTCAAGGGCCACTTCTCTCGCTTTGAGTATCAGAGCCACAATTTTCAACGCAAGCAGGCCCCGCATATTCTCTCTGACTTCACTTTGCACCTTCCGCCCGGTGTGACCAACGCGTACTTCTATGACCAGAACGGGAACGTCTCCACATCCCATCTGCGCACGGTGGCCTCAGTTGCGAAAGGCAGCAAGGCAGTGCAATACAGCGTGCTCCAATTACGGCCACGCTACCCAGTTCTCGGAGGCTGGAACTACTCTTACACTGTTGGCTTCGACACGCCTCTGCAAGATTCAGTAGGCTATGATGCGAAGAATGGCATGTACGTGGTTGGCGTACCTGTCATGACGAACGTTCCTGGAACTGTTGTTAACAACGCCGAAGTCAAAATTATACTGCCGGAGGGTGCAACGTATGTCGAATGAAATTGTGGTCTTTGGTAATTGACTAATATGACCGACAGTAATGTCGAATTCATCTCCCCTTTCCCCGAACTTTCTAACAGTATGTCGACACACATCACCTACCTAGATACCACGGGGCGCCCAGCTATCACCCTCGCATACAAGGACTTGACTTACAAGCACTCGGGCATTATCTATGTGAGTGCATATCTCGTATGTTGAGTTCGAAGGTAACAAATCGATACTTTGTTCAGGTCTCGTATCAGGTTCCCCTTTTGGCTCACTTGAAGAAAGCCATGTCCGTTAGTGCCGCTTTCTTCGGCCTCTTTGCTTTTACCTTCATGGCGAGGCGCGTGAATTTGAGCTTACACAAGAAGTGATGTACAGTACTACTGTTAATGATGAAAAAGATTCTTGCTTGAAACACGTAGGTGGCATTTGTGATATGATCCATTCGATTATTTGTGCCTCAAAGCTCGATCTGGCTCCTAAACTCCATCCGCGTGAGCTGTTACGTCGTATCCCTTGGTGACATGAAAGTGAGGCTTGGGAGATCAAACTTACAAGAATATTAAGTACACGTTATAGCTTCCTGTCTGTCTTGTTCTGACATGTGTAGAACGATCTCTTGTTCGACCGTTGGTTCCTCACCGCCCATTGGCATTTGGATTATTCGAGTGGCCGCTATGAGCGCTAGCGAGTCAAGGGAGGATGTAGGTTCAAGTTCCCATGTTTCCAAAGCTGGTCATGATCAATCACAATCGCATCGCGTGTGATTATCGTGCTTGCCAGGTTCTGAGCGCACGTCCAGTAGGACCATCGGCTGCTGGATAATTGGGTCTGTAATGTGTCAAATAGCCGGGTTATGCAAACGGGGTCCAATTCTGCTGTCGAGATACTTCCATGGAGCAGGGAGAACAACAAGACCAGATCGAGCCGAGTTGCTGTTTAAGTTCGAACCGAGATTATACTAAGAGACGAACTGAGACGAGCGAAACGAGTGCAAGCGATAATTGATCGGAACGTTCACCCGGTCGTCCAGATTATGTGCAAAGCTACGTGGCCGTTTGATGCGATGACCTTGCGACTTTGTCGTGTTCGATCAGGCAGTCGCCGCTCAAGCGCTCAACAGGGGCCAAATCTCCATCTGTGTCAAACTTTCCCACTAGTCATCCTTTGCAAAGTCAACTTGATCAAAGACTGGCATGATTTCGAGTCAAGGCAGAACAACAGCTCGCAATGCCATTCTCAAGTTGAAGCAGAACAACTGGCGGCGATCGATAGGTTCTGGTGTGACGATAGATTCAAGCTTGGAGCGAAAGCAAGCTTCTTCTCTTCTCGGACGTGCGTCTGAAAGGCATTCTACGCAGAAAGGACATACAGCTCGTGCAGGCGGTCCATCGAACTTTCGGTCCCGCACTCAGCTGGACAAACGTGAAGGAAACGGCGAGGAGGTGCAGAAGAAACGTTTACTAAAACCTTATGACTTGTCAATCCAACTCAAGCGTCTGTGCAGCAAGGGGGACCTTGATGGTGCCATCGAACGTTTAAAGTCGACTCCTCGGGATGCGCAGAACGTAGTTGTGTGGAATACAATGATCTCAGAGTGCTTGAGCGCTGAACGGTACCAGCTATCCTACGATTTGTTCATCGACGTGAGTGGGTTTATCCACCGGGTTTGCTACCACTCTTAATAACGGGCGTCTGCAATAGATGAAGCGTAGAGGGTTTTCACCCAACACCATCACTTTCTCCACGATGCTTAGCGGCATTTCTCTAATCAAGGACTGGCCGAGATACAGCAAGCAATTGCAGAATGCGCATTCTCTTTACGAGTCCTACCTAAAACACCTCGAATCCGTCAAGTTTCACGAGGCTGACAACTCGAAGGAATTGTCCCTGCAGCCCCTTGTCTCATACATCCAGATTCTCGGCGATGCAGGAGAATACCATAAAATCTTCGACGTTTACTTTGCCATGGACCAAGAAGGACCGCTCGCACCTGACAGATTCATCTTCACTGCGATGTTCAAGGCAATAGCCGCACGTCAGAAGCGTTCGGCCACTGGCGGAGAGACTTCTACTCGTAACGATGCTGCATCTGACGCGAAGCACGTTTGGATGCAGATGGAGAAAGTTATGCAGAGGAATCCTGACTTCGTCTTGGATCCTGGGCTCATTGCAACAGCCATACGCGCCCTTACGCGGGGAAGCCCGAATGATCAAAGTTTTGCATTCACTATCATCCATGATCAACTGGGTCTTTCAAAACCAGGGGAGGATGTGCCTAAAAGGTTGTCAAACAATCTTAACGCATGGACGTTAGACGCTGCTCTCCAACTTTGCAACGCCATGCAAAAGCATAGACTCACCGTTCACTTCACGCGTCAAGTCATGGAAAAGATTAACTGGGACAAAGTATGGATGCGTTACCTCATCGACTCTAACCACATACACAAACTCCTCAGAGCGTATGCTGGACTCGCCGCTCTCGGATCACTCAATGAATCGAGCGAAGCTTTTGGAGCATTGGAATGGAGTGTACAGAACGACGTGATTTATCATCTCCCCAAGTTGACGCCGACAGCGCAATCGTACCATCTTGCTCTTATGACATGCTGCCGCAGCGCAGACTGGCCAACTGCTGTTCGCGTGTATGAACTCATGACAGGCGTCACAGCCAGTCAATTCGAGTCGAGTGGAAGTCGTCCTCCGATGGTGAAGAGGAGGTCAGAGGGGAAGAACCTGCCGACGGATGCGGAAACCATATCGTTCCTTCTGCGCACTGCCCTTGCTGCCAACAACGTCACTTATATTCAGCATGCGATGTGGCTAGCTGACTTTGCACGTGTTGACGCGCTTCTTAGTGATGAACACACCGCTGCGTTCTACCGATCTAAACTAGCTTCTACCTTGATGGAGGCGACCAAACGCCTGCAAGAAACAGGAGGTCTTACTCAGGAGCAGGAAAAGACTTGGAGCTCGTACAGATTATTGGCACGACAGGTTCTAAAGAGCACGAAAGGTAGCCCAACACCTGGAGTTGAAGAGGAGAGGTTAGGAAACATTCGGACGCTCGTTGACATGGACAACTATGTAGCCTTCGAGATGGCATCGCGTAGTACCAAATCACGCACATGATGCAGAACACACGGTTAGGAGGTATGTTGCATGACGATAATGAGCAGTGACTACATTATATATACAAAAATATAACGAGAATGGGGTGATAAATGAAGCAGACAGAAAATATATAAATAGCGCCCGAAGAGAAAGGTCCGTTGTCCGAGAGGCTACTACAGAAGCCCCAAAACATTTGCCTAAGTACAGGAGAATTGCATGACGAACAGAGCACTGTGCAGTCATGACATAACGACGGGAGGGGGCATGAGGACCGTTCTCAGTTCACTATGCGACTGAATTTGGGCGGTCTCCAGATCTTGACTCCCCTTTAAAGGCAGGCGATGGAGGAGCAAAAAGTGTGTCTTCAGTTAATGCCATCGAGACAGGTTGATACGTATGTGGACCTTGAGGGTTCACATAATC